AATTAGTAAAAAATTTTACCCCTTTAAAAAAAAAAAAAAAAAAAAAACTGTAATGAAATTAAAAAAAAAAAAAAAAAAGGAAATTTAATTCTTCATTATAATTTTTAGACTGTACCATCACCCAATGGCAACTTGGCAACTTTAGTATTTTCTTGAGTTTTCTTGAATTCTTTTTTCTATAAATGCTGAGCTCGGCTGTATTAAGAACGTCAAAGTCTCGGCACGACTTGCATTCATAAATATAAAAAATTCCAAGATATTCTTGAAAAAATGGCTGAGAAAAGCAAGATTTTGATTATTGGAGGAACTGGGTACATCGGAAAATTCATAGTTGAAGCGAGTGCAAAATCTGGGCACCCCACTTTTGCTCTTGCTAGAGAGAGCACTATTTCTGACCCTGTTAAGGGCAAAATCATTGAGGGCTTCAAGAATTCTGGTGTCACAATACTAATTGTATGTATATGTAAATTTTATTCATCTCTGCATTTGTGTGTGTATTGGGTGTGAATTTATTTTTATATGGATGATGATTTTGAGATTTGTTGTGTGAAAATTCACAGGGGGATTTATATGATCATGAGAGCTTGGTAAAGGCTATAAAGCAGGTGGATGTTGTTATATCGACGGTGGGGCAACTTCAGTTGGCCGATCAAACTAAGATCATTGCTGCCATTAAAGAAGCAGGAAATGTTAAGGTTGGTTTGTTCTGTTTCCTTTAGTCATAGATCTAGCAATGAACTGAACGAATTGGGGAGAAAAAAGTATTCCTGTAGCCACTCTGGAACTAGACCTGGTTTCTTGTTGTTGAATTGCGTGATTTTTGCTGTGTTTTGACACTTGAGAGTTGAATTAGTTGCTTTAGGAATTATCTTTAGTAAAATAGGCTCATATCTGTTATTTGAAGACCAAATTTTACTTTCTTGGTGGATCCATGATATTCTTGTCCAGGGATCGAAATTTGAGATGGGAAATTCCTGATATCCAATATGGGATATTCAAATTTCAATTTCATCAAAGAAATACTGTCCAATATCTGATTTCCCTGGTGACAGTGGATTCAATTGTTTTCAATTATTTGTCATTATCATGTCTATATATTTCGGTCGTGGTAGACAAAGTCTTCTATCTGATAGTTAATTAATCTATATGTTGTATTTCTTCGAATTTCCCAGAGGTTCTTCCCCTCGGAGTTTGGCAATGATGTAGATCGTACTCGAGCTGTAGAGCCAGCAAAGTCTACATTTGCAGTCAAGGCCCAAATCCGCAGAACAACTGAGGCAGAAGGGATTCCTTACACCTATGTATCGTCCAACTACTTTGCTGGATACTCTCTTCCGACATTGGTACAGCCGGGAGTCACCGCTCCTCCAAGAGACAAAGTAATCATCCTAGGAGATGGAAACCCCAAAGGTACTTAACATCAAATTCAAAAACTCGTTTAGCAATCCGTATTCCTATTCTGTTCGACAAACTTTGCTGGGAAAACTCAAAAACACTTGGCCTAAGAAGTGTTTAATAGAGAATGTATAGTAGTTTTGTAGAACATTTTGCACTTGTGATTTCTGAATGAGGTTTTGTGCTGAATTAACTGAACTGTTGTATCTCTATTGTAAGCATAAACTAGGATGATTTGCCTTTATATCCTATGTCCTTCCTTTAGCATGCTATGAGGCTGTATCAAACAATGTGGCGGTAGGGATAAACTTCAGTAACTTACTTCACACTTGTTTAATGACATTACTTCAAGAAATTGTGCGTATCTCATCTTTATAATCTTCTTGTTCCCCCCCCCCCTCTCTCTGCCTTATTTGTTTGCAGCTGTCTTCAATTATGAAGAAGATATTGGCACCTACACCATCAAGACTGTGGATGACCCGAGAACATTGAACAAGATCGTTTACATCAAGCCTCCTAAGAACATATATTCATTCAATGAACTCGTTGCCTTGTGGGAGAAAAAGATCGGGAAAACTCTGGAGAAAGAGTATGTTTCTGAGGAACAAGTTTTGAAACAAATCCAAGGTATGCATAATCTTTTTGTTGAATTCTTCATCGATGCTTTATGAAAAATTGAATCGAGTCATTTTGGGTATATAGAACTTAAAGTCCTGAGCCTATATTAATCTCGTTGTTCTCATACATCATTGCAGAAGCTCCTATCCCTCTCAATATCATAATATCGATCAACCATTCAACCTTTGTGAAAGGAGACCAGACCTATTTTGAGATCGAGCCATCATTCGGGGTTGAGGCTTCGGAGCTCTATCCAGATGTCAAATACACCACGGTAGAGGAGTACCTTGATCGATTTGTGTGAGAATCGAGAATTATACCTTAATAAACTAGTCTAAGATGTGAACTTTTCTATGAAGTGTTCCGTGTCTTTGATTTTCAGTTGTTGAATGACTTCGTTTTCTGATGCTGTGAGTTTTCCTTGAATAAAAATGAGATGTCATTGTTCAACCGCCTTGTTTGAAAGCTTAAAAGGGGGACAAATTACTTTATTGAATCATTTCATTTGAAAACTAAACTTTATTAAACGTCAAACACAATAATTCAGCATTGCCCTACATTGTGTGAAACTTAATCCAAGTTTCCACTCATTACACTGAGTAGGGATAAGTGTGCTGCTTTAATCAATTGAACATTTTGATGTTAATTGAAGAACACTTGGCAGTATTCAGTTGGTCCACAGTGTTATGATTCAAATTTCCACTTCCACTACAACCATACGATGTGTGAGCCAATGAGAGCGAGTTAGATCTTTGGATTTGTATTAGGTACCATGTGCTTCAGTTGTCGGGTTTTGCCATTGTTGGCTCCACCACATGTCGGATTTTGCCATTGTTGCCTCCACCTATTTGGATAAGCAATAAAGCTATGTGTACAGTCTTCATTACATGCCCTTTGACAAAGTAACGTGACAGCCGAATTTTTTCTCCCCTACAAAACCAGCCCACGTAGTTTCATAATTTCAAAAGCCAGTCTTGCACGCAATATCAAAACCCCCAAATCTCATTTCATCCGGTTGGTTCACGAACTGAGGCCCTGTCGAAATAACTCACATTGGTGTAGGTGTATACGATTTTGAGGAAAAATATCTTCAGCGGCTTCGATTTATGGTGACGATGCCAAAAATTATTGACCATGGCATTGGAAATTATTTCTTTGCAATTTCTACGGTCGCCAGATTTGGAGTGCGGAATAAGGATGAGATTTGGGGGTTTCGATATTGTGTGCAACATTGGGTTTTGAAATTCTGCAACCATGCGGGCCGGTTTACTGGGAAAAAATGCAGGCAGGTTTTTTCAAAAAATTCGGCTGCCACCTCACTCTGTCAAAGGTCTTGTAATGAAGACCGTACACAGCTTTATTTTGATTAGTTAAGGTCATAGCACAGAGGAAGATTCTACTTGTACAATAATGCATATAATAATGTCCATAATATAATGTGACAATCATCCGATTATTGATGTGCAAGTGTGAGATCTGAATTAAAGGTTAGATCCAGTGCCACATGTAATTATGGACGTCATTATGTAAACAATTATTTTCGTGTAGTACTTTCCTAGAGGATTGTTGACTTTCATTATTGTGCAAATTAAATTATAATAAAATTACACGACATATGAGGCTGTGTAGCCCATTATCGTCAATGTGCAAAACAAATATCTAGAGCCTAATTACATTGATCTGATTAATAGTGGCATAAGATGACAAAATGGTCTCAATATGTGAGATGCTAAATCGAACATTTCCAAAAGTTAATCACATGCGCTTCCACGTTCACAATAACAAGAGATGTATATCACGTTCATTTCTAAGTTTAAACAAGTTGTGTATTTGCACACTTTGAACGTATGTTTGAGATCAATAATCCAGAAGAGTTTTGAGTTCTAAACGAACATAATACAAAGTCAAGATCATTCCAGTCGAACGTGTTAACATGTACTTCCAACCTCAGTCTATTCTATGAACCTTTGCACCTTCAGCAGACTTTTTCCCAGCATAGCTCTGTTCAAATGTATTTTAAAGAAAAGGGCAATCGTTACATACAATTTTCAAGATACATAAAGGAAGTAGAAGATGATGACATTTCAAGAATTTGTTAAATGAAAATAAAGCTCTTACCTGCTTGCCAATGTTGAATGGAACGTATCTGTACTTGATCATGTGTGTAATTTGACGTTTCATTGTGAGGATAAAGAGAAAAACCCAGTAAAAGAATAAGATGGGCCAGAATACAGGGACGTCGAATACAGAAAAAAAGGTCATTAAAAAGGCAACGCAAAAAGCTTTTGTTATTGCATACCTGAAACAATACAACGAAAGGTAAACAAAAGTCCGTAGGGTAAAAGAAAAGCAAAAATGAGAAGATAAACAACTCGCAAAACTGTAGAAGATGAATGCACGGACACTTGTGCAGATTCTTTCAGTTGAACAATTTTTAATTCGAGTTTCTACAGCGAATGGGATATGTATCCCTTGGTTAATAAACATTGAAAGCACATCAATCCCTGTTCTCTCCTATTCTCCTTTTCCCACATATTTGAGGTCACATTTGGTTTGGATTTTGTAAATTAAGACTATTGAATTAATCAGTTATAAAAATTGAAAAGCAATCAAATATTTTGGACTTTGTAAATATTAATAATTTTATCAACTATCATCCTGAACAACCAGCTAAATAAATCTTAGAAGTCGATCAATCAACTAACAAATCCAAACCAAACAGCTGCGCCCAGTGATGATAGATAATCAGCAAGGATGACTAAAAAAAAATTTATGTCAAACTTGTTTTGTTATCCGTATCCAGTTTTTTTTTTCAACCTGACATCTCAGAAAGACCATGGCAAATATAAAACCTCAACTCTTCAATCACCAGATAGACCAGATGTAGATACTACAATGTCATTTTCCATGTTACTATGTCCAAATGAATACTTTTCATTATTGTTCTTACTATATATAATAAAAACAACCAAAACTTCTGTTTTAAGAATGTACACTATATAGAGATACAAAATTTGTAACAATAAGGACAACTGCATTACTAATTTAAGAAACTAATGAACTGCCAACATGTAAATACTCCTCAGAAATTTACAAAAGTGAAACCAGACACTTAGTGATTCACGTCACTTTCCATGTATTGAATAGTAAATTAGAATGCCGTCAAAAACTTATAAGAGTCGTTACCAATCTGAACATGGAACAAAAGATAGTACCAATATGATCAGAAACTCAACTTTGAGCACATTTAACTAATAAGGTTAAAAGTAAACATATGAATCATGCTATCTAGCACCAATCTATGTGAGTGAAAAATCATGTTATTTAACACCAGTCTATGTGATAATAAAGTCACTGTCCACAATTCGTTTAAGAGAAAAATAACAATTGATAACCAATTGTAGACAGGAAGACCACCGCCACATAGAATGGTGCATCTTTCTTAATGTAACTTTTGGCTACGTTACTTTTGCTATTTTCCAGTATGTATTTCTCATTTTTAAAGTAACTCTCTCACTACAAAATAAGTAATTTATTTATTTCCAACTTTGACTAAATATTTAACCTAGATCTCAATTATTTACTTCTAAGTAAATTGTTTAAGTTTGGCCAAACATGCACCTAATCTAACAAAGAATGTGTAACATCATATTAGTCACTAATTGTTGTTGATGAAACAAGCATGAGA